CAAACAGACTTTCAAACAGTTTTTCAAAAACATTCCCCATGGTAATTGAATTTGGTTACCTGGGTGAAAAGAAAGGCAAGTCAAATAATTGTTCTTTGCAGAGATATGCAAACATGCATAAAATATAAGTCTCTATTAACGGTGGGTCCTAGTAAAACTTTTTAAAATCATTTTTTATTTTTCAATGACAGCTGACATACAATATTATATTATATTAGTTTCAGTGATTAGACATTATATAACTTACTAAGCGATCCTTCCAATAAATCTTGTACCATCTGACCCCATACATAGTTATTAGAATATTGTTGACTATAGCCCCTAACTGTATTTTACATACCCACAACTATTTTGTAACAACCATTTGTACTTCTTAATCCTTTCACCTTTTTCACCTTTTCACCCATTCCCCCAACCCCTCCTCCCATCTGGCAACTATCAAAATGCTTTCTGTATCTATGAGTCTGTTCTGCTTATTTGTTTATTTTGCTTAGTTTATTTTCCTTAATTTAACTTATTGATTTGAGAGAGACAAATACAGAGACAGGGGGTGGGGGTGGGGCAGGGGGACATCAACTTGTTATTCCACTTAGCTGTGCATCCATTGGTTGATTCTTGTATGTGCCCTAACTGGAGATGGAATGCGCAGTTTTGCCATATCAGGACGACGCTCTAACCAACTGAGCTACCTGGCCAGGGCCGGCTTTTTAGTTGTTTTTTAAATTCAATTTAACCATCTTAAGTACACTTTTGTCAATAAGGAATAGTATGTCTTTTTTTCAAAGGCAAACTCAATTAAGCCTTTTGATACCTTACTGAAAAATTATCTTTTCCACTGCAGCATCTAAGTGGGGTAGGGAGAAGCCCAGCCTCAATGCCACCACTGTGATGGCAGGCTTTAGCCACCTTAAGTCGGGAAGCAGTGCTACAATAAATATATCTAAACTCTCTTGAAATGAGAACTTAGAGAACCAGTTTACTTTACACATGTGCAGCAAAGTGCTTAAGGTAGGTTCAATATCAACATATCTTCGAAATTTAGTTAGCTGCCTGTGGCTAGCAGACCATATCAATACCCAGAAAATAACCTAACATTTTTCAGAGGTGCAGAAATACGTACAGCATTGGGAAACCGCCCTGGAATCAGTGAAATTAACTGGGCAAGAGTTGAGGCCATACCATAGCATCCAATATTGACTATCACCTTATTCTCCATCAATCTTTAAAACTATTTATTGAAATATAATTTACATACAGATATAAACATTCATGATAACTGTACAGTTTACTGAAATGTCATGAACCAGATCAAAAGAGATGATTGCCAGTGACCTAGAACTCTTTGTACCCCCTCCCAGTCATTATCCTCCAAAAAGGTCATCACTATACTGACTTCGAACAGCAAAAATGTTCAATATTTTATTTTTCAGTAGAATATAGGATAGATTCTATACAGGAAGGCAATAGTAAAGACAGACTGGTTTTGCAGAAACTTATAGTCTTTTAACAAATCAGCCTATTAGTAGTGTGAGCTTGAGATTCTAATTAAAGACTTGAAACTAGTACTGTGTTCATGCCTCTAACCAAGCTCCTGGAAGGCAACAGAGATTCTTCAATCAGAAAAAAAACAAACCCAAACATCCTTACTCTGCATGACTTTCCTAACCAAAGGAAAGCTTTACTCCTGGGAAGAGGCAACCAGGACAGCCAATCTCCTCCCATGCATCCTGCCCTCAGTGACCTCAGAGGGGCGGTCACCCTGTTCCAGAGGTCCTACCTGAAAGCAAAGGCTTCCTACAGTAGCTTAACGTCCTGGGTGATGTCCGGCACAGGCCATTCAATGCTACGACCAGAGAAAAGGAGCACAGCACTTATCCTGTATAAAAATGAGGTATAGGCTGCTACAGCCAAAGAATGCATGCTCCAATCCTTCATAGAAGGTCCACATAGGAAGTACATGAAAGTCCAGGGCGTCGCAGCACTTGAAATCTTGTTGGGCGACAAAATAGAGATTTGTCTTTGTTTCTCACAACAACAACAAAATCTCAGTTAAGAAAAAACATAAGAAGCTTGCTGTGAGAAGGAAGGTACCTCTAAGTATCCTGGGAGGCTCCATCTCCTCTCCCAACCACCCCTGGCACACCTCCTAGGTTCCCCCTCCCGCTTCTCCTTGTCTTTTCCTACTCATCTTCCAGAGGCGCCCAGACCTCGGGAGGAAGGCGGTGGCGACCCCAGTGCCTCTCTGGCACATTCACAACCACAAGAACGAATGGCCCAACAGGGCACGAGGTGCCCCCGCACTCCCAGGGAAGGCCTACAAATGCCCTTTCTGCCCAGCCACCAAGCCGCTGCC